CAGCCAGCATCCAGCTTTGTGAGAGAGAGAGAGAGCGAGAAAGAGAAAGAGGGGGGAGGGTAAGATCACAACGAGAGAGCAAAGAGTGGGGGTAAGATGACTAACGAGAGAGAAAGAGTGGGGCTAAGAATACAAGAGAGAGAAAGAGTGGGGTAGCTACAGATCGAGATAGAACGAGTGGGGCTAAGATAGAACGAGAGAGGAAAAGAGTGGGGTAGATACAACGAGATAGAACAGTGGGGCTAGATACAACGAGAGAGAAAGTTGGGGTAAGATACTAACGAGAGAGAAAGAGTGGCGCGTAGATACAACGAAGAGAAAGAGTGGGCTAAGATACAACGAAATAGAAAACAGTGGGCTAAGATACAACGAGAAGAAAGAGTGGACGGTAAGATACAACAGCACGAAGAGAAAGAGGGTGTAAGATACACAACGAGATAGAAAGAGTGGTCTAAGATACAACGAGATTGAAAACGTGGGTAAATACACCGAGAGAGATAAGAAGTGCGCGAAAGATACAAGCGAGATAGAAAGGAGTGGGTCTATAGAATACAAACGAGCTGTAGAAAGCAGCTTCGGTCGGTGGTACCGGCGTACGCATTAATTAAGGCACGTTCGTGCCTCTGATTCGAGATACCGCGTGCTTGGCGCGGCCGTAGACACTCTCTCCTACTTAATATATGCAATTAACGTGAGCACGACGTTGTCTGAATTATTAAGCTATTAGGTATTTACGAAAGCGCGTAACATACGTCTCTATTACATTTCTGTCGCTCATGCACTTCGACCTATCAGTCGCTTTACTACTAGATTGAGTATATATATATAGTGAATATGTAACGATTAATTATTGGCCGTTTATCCAATGTCGCGCGAAGAAAATGACGGTCGGAGTCGGCCTGGAGCGGCATCATGGATCAGCTCGTCCTCGGTTTGCGGCGCGCGTTAATTTCCACGTGTAAGAGTTTTGATTGTTTCCTCCGTCAATATAAACTATGATGAGTGAGTACCTGGTACGACACGGGCGCGGGTTACTCAATTAAGCGTGCGTGCGTGCACAGCGCTCCGGCGTGCGTGGCACAGCTGCGTGCGTGCAGCACGTTCTAACGCGTGCGTGCACAGTGCGTGCGTGCGTTCCAATCCGACCAGCTGGGCTTCAAGAAGACTATCGCTATAACTCTCGTTAACGACCCTCCATCTTTAACTGTAATTGCGGTTGCTTAGATCGGCGGTGCGCGTGGCGCTGTGGGCGTACGTCTGTATGATTAAATACACACGCGTTGTGTATGCGCGGTGTGCGCTGATGTGTGCTACTGTGCGTGTTATACTATATATATATATATATATTATATATATATATATATAATATATATATATATATATATAATACCTATGATGTATGGTATGTGTGTGTGTGTGTGTGTGCGTGCGTGAGGTGCGTGCGTACGTGTGTGGTGTTGTGCGTGCGTGCGTGCGTGGCGTGCGTGTGTGTGTGTGTGTGTGTGGGCGGCGGTGGTTGTGGCGCCGTGCGTATGCGCTGTGTGTGTGAGGTGGCATGTGCGTATGTATAAGATTTGTGCGTTCACCACCGCCGCAGACACTATGTGATTGGAACATGAACACGTCGCGGACGTTTGATGTACGCCGACAGCGTCCTTGTCTCCGCGCATTGTTCATTCTCCGGGGGTGGCCCCGGCCACTGTACGCAACAGAACAGGGCAGACATCTATGCAACAAAGAACAGCGCGTAAAAGACATTATTGCAACAAGGTCGGCGAAACGTAGCGATATATGCACCCGCCGCCGGCCGCGTGTTTGTTTGTGCTGTGGCTTTTAGTTGTTTGCCTCGAGGCAGAGACATCGCTGTCTTCATTCCTGCGTCTCTTCTGCTGGCGCCGTGTCACGGTGATCGGCTACATAGAACATGGCGGGCGCTTCAAAGGGATTGATTGTACTAGTAATGCGTAATACCGTAGAAGAGCAGAGCACGTATGGTAATCGTGACCAATCGACGGTTGCTAAAGAGCAAGGGTTTCCTATTCTCACATTTAAAATTGGTAACGTGTGTGTGTTGTGTTGTGTCGTGTGTGTGTGTGTGTGTGTGCGTGTGGTTGTTGCTGTGTGTGTGTGTGTGTGTGTGTGTGTGTGGTGCGTGCGTGCGTGCCTGCGGTGCGTGCGTGTGCTGTGCGTGTGTATGTGTGTGTGTGCGCGTGCGTGTGTTGTCTATGTGTCGTAGTGTGTGTGTGTGCTATAGATATAGACGCTAGTCCAAAAAACATATGTTAGGCCCTACAGCGAAGATCGCATCCCCCCGCGTCCTATCATGTAGAGTCATTCACACAAGATAGTTGAACTACCGAGTTTTATTTGCTCAAAGAAAATCTACATAATGCAATAATACAAAGAAGTTTTACTTGAACAAATAGAACGAAATCAGTAAATTCAACAACCCTTGGTAGCTAAACCCACATAATCTACATACTTGATGTACTGCAGCAGCAACAACAACTACACTGTTCTACAGCAGCCTCTCAACTGTTTGCTCTTCTCGCTCCGCGCGTTCTCTTCCATCTCTGCTCTCGCTCTCTCTCTCGGTCCTTCTCCTCTCTCCTCTCTCTCTCTTCCTCTCTCTTCTCTCTCTCTCTCCCACGCACGCACGCAGGAGCACACACACATATTATATATGATAGTCTAGGTCGACTATTAGATTTCTTCCGGTAATGGACGGCATGTCGCACATCTATCTGTTTGATATATTTGCTTTGCAGTTATTGACTCCGCCAAAATCGGGGCGTGACTACCCGATGTTCGTCTTTGTTAATGGCTCCAGCGAGGACCACGAGTATAGAGCGCATCGCAGGAGCAGCCGGGAACACCTCCTCCATATAACGCATTTAGACAAGGACGGTAAAGTGGTGCACGAGCCAGAGGAGTTTGTCTTCTTGTGAATTCGTTTGAAACGAAAAATGAGTTATACCAAAATGTAAAATTAATTGTTGCAGTTCGTGATATCAATATTTATGTGAAATTCATGCCCGAATCTAAATGTATTGACTATTGTACAATTGATAATTTAATTCCAAATGGGAACACAACATATTAGTAATCATATAAAGTACTTAGTTATGTATGTATGTATGTATATAAGCATGTTGTTAAGGGCTTGGACGTACATATCTGCTTTGATGTGAATGTAAAATACTTGTGCAAGTTTTGCGCAAGTCTCGAACTATTTAATTTTGTATTATTCTTCCTTATTGTTGCTACTTGATGAGTAAACTATTGATTTTGGTTGGCTTTGACAGCACTACTGTCTTCAAGTATTCCATTAGTGTCACTGAAACGAGCGTCAGCTGCTGTCCTTCTGACAATGTTCCCATCTTTACGGTTCATCCATCGCGTATTTACTCGTCAGCATCCATTCCAATGGCTTCCCACGTGAGTTTTTATTAACTCTCCTACTCTCATTTTATCGTATCGCCTCTCCTCTCTTCGGCTTTTTTACTCGTCTCTCCTCCCTTCTAGTTGGCTCTTCAGCTGTCCTCTCATTAGCTTCTCCCCTTACTACTCTTGCCATCACCTTCTCTCCTCACCTCTCCTCCCTTCACCTTCTCCT